CTTGAATAGCTTCTTCTCTCTCTGGGCTGCACTGTCCTCCCTTGATTTCTGGTTTCATTCATTTATTCATTATTCATGCATGCATCTATGTTTATTAAGTGCCTGCCATGTTCCATGCACTATATCAAGTGCTAGGGACAAAGGGATGAATGAGATGGAGACCATCCTTGCCCTCATGAAGGGGAAAACATTACGCACTTAAGCATATAAGTGAGATAAACACATATCTATTTCTTTCCTTCCTCGTCAATGATTTTACTAAGCCCCCCTTTTCCCCTACTAAATCTGTAGGGTCCCCCAAGTTGACAGGGTAAGGAGTGCTGCTGCCAACCATGCCTAAACGACGTTACCCCTCACCCATACCCTTACCACTCCCTAAAACCGGGGTACATCCTCTCATCTCCACAGTGCTTTTACTTTGTTCTCTTGAACCCACAAGTGAGCCTGAGTGCACCTTTTTTTTAAAAAAATAAATTTATTTATTTTTATTTTTGGCTGCGTTGGGTCTTCGCTGCTGTGCATGGGCTTCTCTCTAGTTGCAGTGAGTGGGGGCTTCTCTTCGTTGCGGTGCGCAGGCTTCTCATTGCGGTGGCTTCTCTTGTTGCGGAGCACAGGCTCTAGGTGCGCGGGCTTCAGTAGTTGTGGCACATGGGCTCAGTAGTTGTGGCTCACGGGCTCTAGAGCGCAGGCTCAGTAGTTGTGGCACACGGGCTTATTTACTCCGTGGCGTGTGGGATCTTCCGGCACCAGGGCTCGAACCCATGTCCCCTGCATTGGCAGGCAGATTCTCAACCACTGCACCACCAGGGAAGCCCTGAGTGCACCTTGATAAAGATATGGGGCGGAGATCATTGTCCCCTGTTCAAATGAGAAAGCTGAAAGCCAGAAACATCAAGAAACCCTGTCCATGGTCACATGGAGAATTACTGGCATAACCAGTATTGAGCACTTACTATGCGCCAGCTCTTAAAAAACTATCTTCCTCATAACAACCCAGTAAGGTAAGTATTATTATTTTTCCCATTTTATAGGTGGCAAAATTGAGGCTGGAAGAAGTTATTTGACTTGCCAGTGGTGACCCAGATAGTATGTGGCAAAGCTGGGATTTGAACCAAATCTCCCTGGCTCCAAAGCCTGAGCTTTTTCCAAGAAATGGGTCTGGTCACAGAAAAGAGTCTCTGAGTGGCTGACACTGGAGTGGCTTCCACATGCCCTTCAAAACCTCCCGGTCCCAGGATCTTATTTAATTTCCTGCTGAAGTTCTTGGCACGCATTTATCAATATAGTTAACTCTGTTATCTATCCATCTATCTGTGATGATCTTGTCTTCAAGTTTTTATTGGGTAATTAAGTCAAGTAACTCTTCCCTGTAAGCATCTCCATCGCTTGCTTTATTGGGTTTGTATTTTCCTTTGTTCACATACTGAACAAACACCAAGCACCCACCAAGTGTTGTGGGAGGCTTAGTGGGTGTAAGTGAATGGGGCCCATCCCTCCCCTTGAGGAGTTCCCAGCTTAGAGCAAAGTTTCTGAAGGGTCTTCCATGGGCAAAGTGCAGTGATAGGCCATGGAGAGAGGAGGACCACAAACACCTGCCCTCAGAGAATCTCCTGGTTTTGGGAGGCAGGCCCGCAATTAGATAATAGAAAGGTGTGAAAGGAGGTGGGAGGGAGCAGAAGTGGATGTGGTAAGTGTGGGCTGGGGGTGGGAGCAGCCCGCCTTGAGTTCCCACAGTGCTGCTTTTAAATCCCAACTTGCTCTGGCCACTGTGGGACACTGTGTCTCAGAGCCCAGCAGCCTGCAGCTTGGAAGGAGGCCTTTAAACGGGAGAAGGTGCTGGAAAGAACAGAGTTGCATAAAGAAAGAAGCTAAATTTATCCCTCCTGGTAGACCCCCAGCAATTGCTATGCTTAACACCTGACTTTCTATCAACAGAGACTTGTTTAACCAGAAGGTTAGTTGTTTTTCTCTGAGAAAGAGACAGAGAGAGAAGGGAAGAGAGAGAGAGAGAGAGAGAGAAAGAGATAGAGACTCTGAAGACAGAGATGCACAGAGAGACACCTGAGGAGAAGCAAGGAGAGACAGAGGTAAAGGCATCCTTTGGTACACAGCCCCGGTGAGCAGCAGGGAAGAATACTAAACTGGGCACCTGAGTGGGAGAAATCAGGCAATCTCCCACCCCCTTCCTCCCTGTCTACCTTGCTAATTTCCAGATAGCACCATTTTTCAGATGTAAGTATATAGGAGATGTCTGTGTTATCTTGGCCACTGCTTTGTCCCTGTCACCCGCTACCATCCCTATATAGCTGAGAGTTGACTGTAAGTGGATAATATACAAAAGCAATGATTTAAGTAAGTTTTATAAGACTAAATATGCATGCCTTTGACCTAACATTCCCACCTCCAGGAATTTATCCTACAGAAAGTAATTAAGGACACAGGCAAAGAATTTAGCAAGAGACTATTCATTGCAGCGTTGTTTAGAAAAGCAAGGAAACTAAATAGGCAACCCTGTTGGGGACCTGCTCAATAAATAATGGTATAACCTTACAATAGCTGTCCATACTGCCCGTAAATTGGGTTATAAATGGTTACTTATTGATGTGGAAAGACATGATTTATTAGGTGTAAAAAGCAAGTTACAAAATAGTGTATACAGTATGACTCCATATAAGTATTCTTATAAGTAAGAATAAATATAAAATATATAATCTAGGAAGACATATACCAAATGTTAATCTCTAGGTGGAGGGATTCTAAGACATTAAAATTTTTTTCTTTTAGCTTATCTGCATTAAAAAAAATTTTTTTTTCCACAATGAACATGTATTTCTTGTGCAATGAGAACAAATTTCCTTCCAGTGGTCCCAGCAAGCGCCTCCTGCTGGGAGTCCAGGAGTGTACGGGCAAGCTGAATCAGGTGCTCCTGGCTCTGAGGCATTGTGAGAAAGGCCACCAACCCTTGTGAGGCCACTTCAAGCTGCTCATTAAGAATTTCCAAAACAGCGAGTCCCCACCCTGTTTCCACTCCCCATCCTGACTGGTCTTGCGGGCAAGAACTCAATGACCCAACACCTTGGTATCAAAATGCTCAGTTGCTTCATAACCTACTGGGGGGTTGGCTGCCGCCCTCCCTTGAGGCAAAACAGTTTGTACAAGTTGGTACTTGGTAAAGCTAGCCTTGCTAAAACTGTAGGGCCTTCCCCACTAGCCAGGAGCACCCTCCCCTGTAGGGGAGTGATGGCTAAGATGCTGTGTTGATCAGGTCTACTGCCTCTACTACACAGAGGCAGTTGTGATTCTGAATGTTGGAGAGAAAAAGCCGTCACCATGGCAACCCAGGCTGCTCAGCCTCTGGGATCAGTCCAACCCTCAGGGAAAGAAGGTGGAGTCTGGAGTCAGAACAAATACTGCCTGGCTGTCTGACCTCGGGTAGGACACTTAGCTTTTCTCTGCCTCAGCTTCTACATCTATAAAATGATACTAAAGTTCCTTATCCTACCCGCTCCCCGGATTAATGAGGAATAATCTGTAAATGGTAAAATGCAAGAGGAGTAGAGCCTCCCTAGCTTTGGTTTGTCCCCAGATTGCTGTGTGTGACCTTGGGCAAATCACTTAAACAGTTCTGTGCTTCAGATGCTCTATTTGTAAACAGGAAAGTAACGTGCACTGTGATGGCTTCTCAGATTTATTGTCAGGTGCCCATGAGAATCCCAGAATCTCAGGGTTGGAAGGAATCTTAGCCCTTACCACCCATGCAGGAATCCCTTTGATAAGTTCTCTGACCGAGGTACTTGTCCTACCTCTGCTTGGTTACCTCCAGTGGCAAAGAGTTCATGACTGCACAACTTCCCAGGTAGCTCTCACTGCATGACACTAATTGTAAGAAAGTTCTTCTGTATATGATGTTTTACAATTAAATATTTGTTTAAAAAATTAGCAGTTCTTTTCAGAGCTATTTCTGCTCCTGATTTTCCCAGTGGGTTTGCACAAGGTAGAAATTAGCAGCAATTGGCCAGAGGCAGGTACAGTCCCAGCTCTGAAAGCTTTTAGCTTACTGTAACAGAAGGAGTATGGGTTCCGGGGTCACACACTCTAGGTTAAAATCCCACTTTGTACACTTACTAGATGGTTGACCTTGGGCAACTTATATTAGCTCTCAGAACCTTAGTTTCCTGATCAGTAAGATGAGGATAGAAATACCTACCTCACAGTATTGCTGTGATAGCACTTCTTATTAAGCTTACAACTCTAACTTCCCTGGTAGAATTCTGGGGAATGTGGGGGGCATGTGGGTTACACCTTCCTCTGCCAGCCCCTGGACAACGCATCTGCCCTCCAAGCCCCATCTGGCACATGTAGGCCCTCATGTGCCCAGGCTGTGCTCCTCTCAGAAGGAGACAGAAGGTTCATCTCGCCCTCCTGGGAACCCCTGCAGCACAGCCTTGGGTCTGTAATTTAGGGCCTTCTCCCTCTCAGGCCTGTACCAGGGGCCATAAAAGGAAGATGATGCAATGGCTTCAAGACCAAGTTCACCCCTCCCTGTAATTCCCCTGCCTCAAGGTCAGCAGCCCCACAGACTTTGCCAGCACTAAGCAAGCATCCCAGGGTGTCACTTGGTGAAGGCTTTCAGCCGTATTTAATGGGAATCTCATATGGGGCCAAAAGCCTCTAAGACTCAAAAGAATGCAGTCTGGTGGTGGACTTCAGGCATGGTGATAGGGAAAGCTATCTGGGGTAGAAAAGTGGTCCTCTGCCCTCAATAGGAAGGAGTCAGGACGCCTGACTAGCTGTGGACTCTCTGAAGCCAGTGACTTCATTCCTCCGTGCCTTGCTTTCCTTGTGTGCAGAATGACAGGTTGATGCCTGAGACCTTCCCTGCGTCAGAATTATAGGTTTTTCCCCATTTGTTGGATGCAGGATGAGATGGCGAAATCGCCCTTGACCTCTTTTTGCCGCGGGGGCCGCTAAGCTCCCACTCCTCTCTGCTTCCTCCACAGATGAGTACCTCCGAGTCCTCAGTGTGGGCGTGGCCGAGGTGAAGAAATCCTTCCTGGGGCCCTTGTCCCCGTCCTGTAAGATGGTGCAGACGATGAGGCAGTTTCTGTACCGGGTCCTGCCTGAGGACTCCTACAGGGTCGCCACGGGGAAGCTCCACGTGAGCCTCACCCGGTTCACGGATGGAAAGAGTGTTGTGGTTTCAGAATATACATCCAAAGAAGAGCTCATCGAGGCAAGGGGGCGGGACCTGGGAATAAGGGTGGGGGCGGGGCTAGGGATAGGGCGGGGCCAGGGAGTGGGGGCAGAGCCCAGGGAGTTGGGACAGGAAAGGAGAGGCTGGCCCCGCTTCTCTTGACGGGCCCCTGGGATGGTCCACTTGTCTGCCTCACTTCCTTCCTTCTGCTTTCTGCCCCCCTAGTTTTTCCCTCCCTTCACCCTCCTGGCATCTATCCCTCTGTGTCAGGCACGCTGTTAGACAAGATGGACACAGAGAAGCCAAAAACTAATCAGACATGCTCACCATCCTACATTTCAGCACTCAGAGTCTGCCTCCTTTTGCCTCTGTCTTGCCCTCTGCTCTAATCCTGCAGCTTCTCAGGGGCCCGTTTGTATTACCAACAGAGGTCCCATGGCTCCTCTAGGGCCTGGACTTCAGTGTTTCCCCACTAAATTACTCCCAGTTTGTGGGAACAGCTTCCCTCCGCCCCCTCTCTTCCACTGGTCCTTGATAAAAAGGACTGTGTTATCACTAAATGGGTTAACACTTAGGAAAGGGGATTCTGACAGTGCATTGTTCTAAGCTCACTAATATACATTTTAGTTATGACTTATTATTGCTGGAGAGTGCTGTGGTTATGTCCAATTTTCTTTCAGGGCAAGAGTTGAGCTGCATGACCCTCCACCCATATTTCCAATCCCCTCCCCTCCTCTGAATACAAGACCCTCGCCACCCATCCTCACATCCCCACACTGGCATGGCCTTGACCCTGGGGGTTGGGGATGAATGGGCAGGGACATGGATACCTCCTCCAGCTACCTCATGTCCCCTGGGTTTATTAGCACCCAGCTCTTCAAGACTTTTCTCTCCCCAGCCCTCTCCCACCACCTCCCACTCTTACCCATGCCAACCAGAGCAAATCACACAAAGCAGGCCTCTGTGTCGGCACCTGCCGTGCCTCCTGCCTCGTGCCGGATGCCCTTCCGCCCTTCCCTCCTTCCCACCCCACTTCACCTGCTTGGTGAGACTCCAGTCACTCCTGCCAGGGAACTTTCCTTCATCACCTGCCTGCCTTGCAACCCCTGGGTTGGGTGCTTCTTCTTTGGGACCACGATGCCCATGCTTACCTCCATCACAGCACCTGTCACCCCATGTACTGTCACCTAATTGCTTGGTCCCCCTCTGAGCATTCCCAAGTGTGGGCATCTCACCCTCCTTTGATTCCAGGCCCAGGCCAGACACACATTAATGGTTTTTGAATCCCATTGGATTCATGGAAATTTGGTGTTAGAAGGAGCCCTGCAGATCATTGAGGCCACTCTCTCCCTTTAAAACTGAGACATCCGGCCCAGCCTGACCAAGTAGGTTACCAAGGATCCAGCCAGGAGCTGAACCTGGGGCTCCACTTCCCAGGGCAGTGACTCCACCTTGGGTTTAAGAAGGGCCAGGCTGACAGTGTCCCAGATGCCCGCAGGTGATCCCTCCCCACGCAGCCCCCAGGCCTTGGGCATCTCAACCCTGTCCTCTCCCCCACAGGCCCTGTACTGCAGCTGCTTTGTCCCTGTGTACTGCGGCCTCATTCCTCCAACTTACCGCGGTGTGGTAAGTACCTCAGTGTGGGAGGGCGGGTGAGCTGGGATCCAGGGGTGCCTCAGGGCCCCTGTGACCCACATTTGGGAGGAATGGTCTCAGAATTCAGTGGGAAGACCAAGAATTGAAAAGGTCCTTGTGGTTTCCTACTCAGAATTCCCAGCGTAGATAGATTTCTGGGGCTTTAAGAAGAACTTTTCCCCCTAAGTTGGGCTTCTCTCTGGACTCACCAACACATTACTGAACCCAACAAGTCAAGTTTCCACAGGTTTGCCAGATTTCCCCAGCAGGAAAATCCGGTGGGTCTGAGATTCTGTACCTCCAATCAACTTCAGCTGACGCCAGTGCTGCTGGTCCACGGACAGCACTCTGAGTAGGAAGATTTAACCCGTGCCCTCTCCTCATTTTACGTATAGAGAAAATGAGATCCAGAGATTACGAATCAGCTAGTAGATGGACCCCTGTATTGCCTGCCATTCATTTAATCAGCTAGTAGATGGACCCCTGTATTGCCTGTCAGTCATTTAATTCGCAGGCACCCAGAGGGTTAGAGCCTCAGCATCTGTGATCCTTTGTTCACAGCCGAGGAAACAGAAGCCCCAAGAGGGGAAGGGACTTGAGGGTGGACACAGGGTGGTCAGGGGTGCTCTGGAGGGTGTTGAGGGTGTCTGACCTCAACAGAGGGGGGCAGCTTGGACCCAGGGCAGTCTGGAGGAGGGCGATTTCACAACCTGCTCAGACCCACCACATGTGCACCTTCTCAAAAGGCCCTGTGGATGAGCTCCTTTCCCCGGCCCTGCCCTCAGCTGTTGAGGGACTCCACGAGGGGTAACGTGACAGGGAAGCATTCGTTCCTGCTTCATCCAGGGTATGGATGCCCCCGGACCTTGGCGTCAAAGCTTCTCCCAAGGGACCCATTTCTTTGCTCTCCCTGAGTGGGGGAGAGGACCTATGACCCCAGATGAGCATTTCTCACTTTGCCTCCCCCCTCCGCCCTGCAGCGGTACATCGACGGGGCCTTCTCGGGCATGCAGCCCTGCTCCTTCTGGACGGACTCCATCACCATCTCCACCTTCAGTGGTCAGCAGGACATCTGCCCGCGGGACTGCCCCGCCATCTTCTGTGACTTCCTCATGTTCAACTGCTCTTTCCAGTTCTCCCTGGAGAACATCACCAGGATGACCCATGCCCTGTTCCCCCCAGACCTGGTGGTAAGAGACAGGAGGGACCTGGGGGATGGGCAAGGAGAGCCGGAAAGGGTGATGGGGTCTGGAGTGGGATGGGGGAGCCAATGAGGCCCATTCAGTCCATCTCAAATGATCCCTTAAACTTCCTCCTAAAGCTGTATCCCGGCCTTGCTGCCAGCTGGGTATGTGACCTTGAACAAGGGCCCTAAGTGCTCCCAACCTCAGTTTTCTCCCCTGTAAAATGAGATGATCTCAGAACCACTGATAGCAATGTTGGCTGAACTCTCCCATTTTGACATACAATGTGGGTTCAACAGGCTATGGCCCAGGGGCCAAATCCAGCATATGACTTGTTTTTATACAGCCTGTGAGCTAAGAATGGACTTTCTATTTTTAAAGCATTGTTTAAAAAAAAAAAAAAAACAAGAAGAAGAAGAAGAAGTGACAGAGACTATAGGTGGCCTACAAAGCCCCAAATATTTACTGTTTGGCCTTTTACAGAAAAGGCATTGTGGGCAATATCTGGTGTAATCCTCCAGCATCCTCTGTGATAGATACTGTTTTATTCCCATTTTACAAGTGAAGAAACTGAGGCTGTGAGAGGTTACATTCACCCAGCCACCCAGCCAGTAAGTGGCAGCACTGGGATTTGAGCCCAGTCTCCAAATGCTGCTCTTTATGCTGTCCAAATGCACCTTCTCTGGTTCTACCATAAACATCGCACCCTCTCCGGCCCAGGGGAAGCTGATGATCAGCTGTTCTTAGCAGGTACTGAAGGATGGGCACATTTTGAAAAGCTCATCATATAAAGCTCAAGAGCAATGAAAGCAACTGCTTTGGAAGAGGGGACTATGGGTCTCTCTGTTGCTACAGCCTTAGTTATTTTCCTGGTGCCCCTCCTTGCAGATCCTGCACAATTATTACTACAGAGGGTACGAAGATGCTGTTTCGTACTTGAGGCGGCTGAGTAAGTACTATGTGGTGCCCCGAGGAAGAGGAGGAAAGTGGGGCAAAGACAGGAAGTAGAAGGGCTAGATAGAGGAGCATTTCCCCCCAGTTTGTGAACTGGAGGTGCTCTTCACCCAGGAGAGCTGGAAATGGGCACAGGGACCTGACAGCCTTCATTGTCCAGATGTTACTGTGGCCAGAAATTAGGACCACTGTGGAAAAGGGGCTTTAGGTTAACTGATGGGACAGTGTCTAGGGCTTTTGTACAAATGTATTTCTGAATTTAAAAACTATGCTTAGGAAATACATAGCTCATATCTCCCTGGAGCATTCCATTCTCATATCATTACATTTTCTTGCATTTTATTCTCTTTCCAATGAAACAGTATTGTTAATGTAGAACTAGATGTGACTAGTTTATGTTTGTGTGAGACTTTTGAGTGACATATAGATCAACAAATGAGAGAGAAGAGCCCTTGCCCTAAGTTGGTTTGGAAAGCATGGTCCCACCCCTGTGTATCCTCTGTGTATTATCTGGGTGGGAGGAAGATTCCAAAGGCATACACTACACACGCTAACTCCATGAAGGCCATGCAAACATCTTTGTTAAAAGGAAAGAAAAAATGCTTTTCTATATTTAGAATTAATTCCATAGAGCATATTTCCAGAAAAAGGGGATTTCTGGATCAAAGGGTTTACTTAATGTTATATAATAAATTTTTTTCCATGTTGCCATATGGTCTTTGTAACTGGCTTTTTGGCACCTGTATAATATTCCATCACAGTTGTACAGAATACTTTGATCATTCTTGGGTTTCCAAATGTTCACTATTATAAACAATGCTGTGGTGAACTTTTTGTGTATGTAGTTTAAAAAATATACTTAAGGAGTGAGATTAAGGGGTTGAATGAGGTTTTTCTCGTAGGATATGTACACTTTTTTTCTTCAAAATTGCTTCCTGCTGGGACTTCCCTGGCAGTCCAGCAATTAAGACTCCATGCCTCCACTGCAGGGGGTGCAGGTTCAATCCCTGGTTGAGGAACTAAGATCCTGCATGCTGCGTGGTGCAGCCAAATAATTGCTTCCTGCTTTCCTAAGCTCCGCTGTCCTAACTCTTTACTTTCTCCTGGGTCCATTCTCCCGACTAGTGGGGTAGGGAGCAGGAGCACAGGATGGAGAGAATGTGGCTCTGGAGGCAAGTAGCCCTGGGCCAGGATCCCCATCCCCCAAGCTGTGTGAGCTCCAGGAAATCACTCTCCCTCTCTGAGTCTTAGTTCCAAATCTGTAAAAAGGGTTTAGATCCTGGTTTTTGACACACCAACTATGTGACCTTGAGCAAGTAATTCATCTCCTGGGGCCTGTTTTCTCATCTGTACAAGGTGGCTGATGGTGGAACCTACCTCTGAGTTTTATTCCTAGCCACGGTCAATCCAGTCCACTGCCCCCTCTGACCTCTCTGCAGACAGACTCCTCCTAACCCTGACTGTCCTCTGACAACTGCCCCATCTTCCACATTTTCACAGGTGACAGCTGTGAAGCCGAGCCCCCAGTGTCCTAAAGGAGGATGACCTGGGGGGGGGTGGTGGTGGAGATGAGGTCTCACCTACAGAGCTTAGGGAATAGGAGGGTCTGGCTAGGGCCTGTGGTCCTTTCTGCCCCAGGTGGGGAGCCCCTCCATTCTTTCCTCAGTGATGGTGTATATCGAGGGCTTGAGGTTTGGGGAGCCCCTGATTTGGTTCTTGGATCTCGGAGCAGACACCAATTGCCTGCCCCAGGAAATCCCGCTACACCTCAGATTGCATCCTGGCTACCTGGCTGCCTCCATACCTGTCTCTTGCCTAGAACTTTTCCTTTCTCTTCCTCTCAGGGCAAGCCCTGGGAAGACTTACAACGTGGGCTGTTAAGCATCTCTAGTCTCCCCCGTCTCTCAGTAGCCCCTTACCCTCTCACCCTCCCCGCTCCCACCCTTAGCTGGTGTGGACATTTTCACGGGTATGAACGGCAGTCTTAAACCCAAGGATGAAACTCTAATAGTAGCATTGCAGGCATCCACTCCTGAATTGGGGCAGTATATGGAGGATGGCAGGTTTTCCCCAATGGCCCTGGAATCACTCCAAGTAGGAACAGACACAACTCATAAGGGAGAAAAAAACTCGTGCTGGCTGCCAGCTGTTTTTGCTTCCTCTCCCAATTTGCAAATGTGTGCGTGGCTTTCTCAGTGCAAGTTTCAGCTCCAGCACCTAAATCCTCTTGGGTTTGGTGGGCCTAGAGTTTTCTCCCGGCACCAGATGCAAGCAGGAAATACTGACATAGCCTGAGAAATCCCCACCTACCATCTGGGAACGGAAAACGGAAGTCTGCTCCAGCCTCCTGCCTGCTTTCTGAAAGGGGGTCAGCTCAGGTAGGAAGCCATACCTGCAAGGTGTGCAAGGGTGCAAGGTGTCACCCTCAGCTCACATCCTGGCATCCTCTTTCTCCTCCCTCCTAAGGGTTCACATCTACCTAGTTTTCCTGCCACCAGGTGAGCCTCCCTCTCCACTCTTGGCCTCCCCTGACAGCAGCCTTCTACCAAAGGGAAGGACACTGCTTGCTGGCATCCTTGAAAATCCACATTCCCCACACAGACACATGTACATGGTGAGGTTGGAGCTCAGAGGATGCCATGTCTGAAATATCCATCCCATATCCAGCCATGCCCGGCCAAACTGACCTTCCTCCCTCCTTTCCTCTCACTCACAATTGGGTGAGTTTTGACACAGACACAGACACACAGACACAGACACACACACCTGCGAAACCAGCACGACAATCAAGATAGGGAACAATCCATGATGCCTGAAGTTTCCTCATGCCCCTTTGGGATCCCTCCCACCTTCCCTCATCCCACCATCCCCAAGCAAACCCTGATGTCTTTCTGTCATTATAGATTAATTTGCATTTTTAGAGTTTTTGATAGATGAACTCTTATAGTATGAACTCTTTTTTGTCTGCATTCTTTCACTCAGCATAATTATTCTGAGATTCACCCATGTCATTGCATGGTATAAATAGTTCATTCCTTTTTGCGTTCCAATCCACTGTATCAATGAATATACCACAGTTCATTTATCCATTCACCTGTTAATGGGCATTTTAGTTGTATCCAATTTGGGGCTGTTATGAATAAAGCTGCTATGTACATTCATGCATGAAGTTCTGTATGGACAAATGCTTTCATTTCTCTTGGGTAAATACCCAGGAATGGAATGACCCGATCATATGGTGGATGCATGTTTATTATGTAATGTGTATATGTCTACAAATATATGTATAACATATAATATTTTAATATAAAATGTAATGTATTTAATTGTAGTAAAACACACATAATATAAAAGTTACCATCTTAGCCATTTTAAGTGTACAATTCAGTAGTGTTAAACATACACTGGTGTGCAACCAATCTCCTGAACTTTTCCATCTTGCAAAAATGAAACTCTACACCCATTAACCAACTCTCCTTTTCAGCCACCCCCTAGATCCTGGCAACCACCATTCTATTTCTATGAGTTTGAATACTTTAGGTACCTCATGTAAGTGGAATCATAACAGTATTTGTCTTTTTGTGACTGGTTTATTTCATGTATAATGTCCTCAAGATTCATGCATGTTGTAACATCTGACGGGATTTCCTTCCTTAAGGCTAAGTAATATTCCATCGTGTATATAGAGCAGATTTTCTTTATTCATTCGTCAGTGGACATTTGGGTTGCTTCCACCTCTTGGCTATTGAGAATAATACTGCAATGAACATGGGTGTGCAGATATCTCTTCGAGATCCTATTTTCAATACTTTTGGATATGTACGTACTGAGAAACATACGCAGAATGTATGTCTAACTTTTTAAGAAGTTACCAAATTGTTTTCTAGAGTGGTTGTACCATTTTACATTCCCAGTAGTGAATGAGAATTCCAGTTTCCCCACATTCTCACCAACACTTGGTATGGTCAGTCTTTTTAATATTAGCCGTTCTAATAGGTATGTGGTAGTATCTTATTGTGGTTTTAATTTGCATTTCCCTAATGACTAATGATGCTGAGCATCTTTTCCTTGGCTTATTAGTTGTTCAAATATATTCTTTGGTGAAGTGTCTGTTCAACTCTTTTGCCCATTTTCCCCTAGACCTTGAATAGGCTTTATTTTTTAGAATCATTTTAGATTTACAGAAAAACTGTGAAAATAGTACAGAGAGTTTCCATAGACTCCACATCTAGGTTTCCCTATTGTTTTAGGTCTCACACTTGTTAGATGTTATAGCATGGTACACAAATCATTTGGTGCATAGTATAGTATATTGTTTACAATTAGTGAACCAATGTTGATAAATCGTTATGAACTAAAGTCCATACTTTATTCAGATTGCCTTAGTTTTTACCTAATGTCCTTCTTCTGACCCAGGATCCCATTCAGGATCCCTCATCACATTTAGTTGTGCTGTCTCCTTAGGCTCCTCTTGTCTGTCACAGTTGCTCAGACTCTCCTTGTTTTTAATGACCTACTGGCCAGATAGTTTGTAGAATGTCCCTCGGTTGGGATTTGCTTGGTGTTTTTCTCATGATTAGACTGGGGTTGTGGGTTTGCGGGGGAAAGACCACAGAGGCAAAGTGCCATTCTCATCACGTTGTATCAAGGGTACATGCTGTGAGGTGGTGTTTGTCGGGTTTTTCCACTGTAAATCTACTCTTCCTTTCCATACTGTGCTCTTTGGAAGGAAGTCACTAAGAAGTAGGGAGTTATTCTCCACTTCCTTAAGGGCCGAGTATCTACAGAAATTATTGGGAATTCTTCATCATGAGAGATGTGTCTCTTTCTCCGCCTATTCAATCATTTGTTTACCTATTCAATCATTTGTTTATATTAGTATGGACTCGTTGATACTTATTTTATACTGTGGGTTATTACTCAGTCCTACTTTATTTAGTTTCTTACTCAAAGTGTTCCACCTTTGGCCATTGGGAGCCCTTTCAATTGACTCTTTTGCCCATTTATTTTTATTTTTATTTTTTTGGCTGCACTGCACACAGCTTATGGGAGCTTGTGGGATCTTAGTTCCCCAACCAGGGATAGAACCTGGTTCCTCAGCAATGAAAGCGTAGAGTGCTAACCACTGGACTGCCAGGGAATTCCCATCTTTTGCCCATTTAAAAAATGGAATTGTTTGTTTTCTTATTAAGAGCTTTTATGTATTCTAGATAAATGCCCTTTATCAGAAATATGATTTGCAAATATTTTCCCGCAGTCTGTGATTTCTCTTTTCAACTCCTTAACAGTGTCTTCTGAAAAGGAGAAGTTTTTTTTTTTTCCTCTCCCGTTGTGGAGCACAGGCTCCGGACGCACAGGCTCAGTGGCCATGGCTCATGGGCCCAGGCGCTCCGCAGCATGCGAGATCTTCCCGGACTGGGGCACGAACCCGTGTCCCCTGCATCGGCAGGTGGACTCTCAACCACTGCGCCACCAGGGCAGCCCAAACCAAGGGTCTTTGATGCCGCCTGTAAGCCCTTGCATGGTCTGGCCCCTGTGGTCTCCTTAGCCCCATGTCCCATCACAAGTATGCCCACCCCTCTTCCACCTACACTGACCTCGCAGGGCCTTGGCTTCTTGCTGCTCCCCCGAACCTGTGACCCTTGTGTGTGCTGTTCGCTCTGCCTGGAATGCTCCTCCTCATCCCACCCTGACCACCCCCTGGACCCCTCCCCTGTCACGTCTCAGCTCAAACGTCACTCGCTCTGGGAAGCCCTTCCTGCTCCCGTCTCTCCTAGTACCACATTCTTCACTTCCTAGCACTTGTCTTGGTTAAAACTTGAGGTTATGGGCGTGGTTAGTGCCTGCCCCCAGGCTAGACTATAAGCTCCAAGAGGCCTATTTTTGTCTCCTTCAACTCCTCAGTGCCTGGTATAACGCCTGGCACATATTAGATGCTCAATAAGTATCCATTAAATAAGTGGATCAAAACACAATCAGAAGGCTTCCCTGGTGGCGCAGTGTTTGAGAGTCCGCCTGCCGATGCGGGGGACACGGGTTCGTGCCCCGGTCCGGGAAGATCCCACATGCCGCGGAGCGACTGGGCCCGTGAGTCATGGCCACTGAGCCTGCGCGTCCGGAGCCTGTGCTCCGCAACGGGAGAGGCCACAACAGTGAGAGGCCCGCATACCGCAAAAAAAAAAAACCACAATCAGATATTCAATATAAATTCAAGTAAGTAAAGAAAGGCCATTGAAAAGCACTAATCCAGGAGTTCCCTGGTGGCCTAGTGGTTAGAATTCTAGGCTTTCGCTGCTGGAGTTCAATCCCTAATCGGGGAACTGAGATCCTGCAAGTTGTGCAGCGCAGCAAAAACAGAACAAAAACAATGAAAAGCACTAATCTTGTTTATGAGAATAATTTGGGAAACCATTTTTTGCAAATACTCTGCTGATGCCAGGGGTTAGTAATGCCACCTGTGACCCCATGCTACTGTTTTTCCTAGATGCTGCTTACCTTAATTCTCCTTCCAAGAGAGTGATTTTCCCCTGGGTAGAAGTGTACTGCCAGATAGAACTCGCCCTTGGCAATGAGTGCCCTGAACACTGTCAACCAAGCCTCCAAACAGAGCGGGCCAGTCCAGAAGAATCCAGACAACTTCACACACAATGGGCTCCCAAAGGAGAAAGAAAAGGTGGCCGTGGTCCACCTCTGTCCCCACCTGTGCAGACACCTGAATCCACATGTGAGTGGCCTGTGGAGTCACCTGTTTCACCACCTGCATCGCCACTGGCCTCAACACCATCACATTCTCCAACTGACTTGCCACCTGTATCACTCCCAGCTGTGCACTTCCTCCCCAGCTCAACACCTGGGCTGTCACCCGTATCACCATCACAGCAGGTACAACTGACTGGATCGCCACCCAGATCCCCACCCCCCCAGTCATCTATGTCATCCAGGGCGTCCCTGGGGCCTTCCGCTGTGGGCACATCTCCAACATTGCCCCAATGTTCTTCTTCAGCATCACCTGCACAGCCACCTGTGGAGGAACTGGGCCCAGAACAGCCCCAAGGTATGGACCCTTCTGGCTTCTCACAGCTTCCTCATGTCTGGAGCCCGTTGGCAAGTGTGTAACGACATGGCTGCTGATAACATTTGCTTTAGAGGGATGCATTGGTGAAGTTAGCCCGTAACTTTAGCGGCTCTACTTGCTATGAGGACAGACCACCACGAGAGGGCAGTGTACTTGACATTTGTTTTTTTTCCTTCTTTAGTCCAGTGATTCTCAAAGTGTGCTCCCCAACTAGCAGCAATAGCACCACCTGAGAACTTGTTAGAAGTGAACATTCTCAGGCCCTACCACATACCTACTAAACCACAAATTCTAGGGGTGGGACCCAGCTGTCTGCATTTTTTACAAGCCCTCCACATTTGAGAGCGGCCATTCTAGTAGATTTTTTATTGTGAAAGCTGCTGTGCCAGGGCAATGCTGCTCAAGAAGGGGTCTGTGGACCAGTGCCAGTCCCTGAATTATTTGTTACTAGTTCACAATGAAATGAGTACAGAAAGTGAGAGCAAGCATTTAGAAATGTTTATAGCAATACAGTAGAGCTATGACATCCAAGAGCTTGGTCATTTTCCTACTAATTCATTTATATTGTATTTCACAAAAGCACTAGTCCATTATGGATTGTAAATAGTATTTTAAAAAACTGGTTATTTACTACAGGTGAAGCACCCCGCTGGGGGCTGCAAAGATGAACAGCTCTTTGCAGAGGGAATGGCATGGATACCAACCTCAAAAACGCAAAAGGAATTCTTAAGTACTATATAACTAACAAAAACAGTGTTGAGGGTATTAATAGAGAATAAGATTACATCTCTCTGGGGAGATAAGAAAGGCTTCTTGGAGGTGACAGGTGATTTGAAATGGGCAAGATTTTGACAATTGTGGTTTGTGGGATACGACAGAGTAGAAAGAACATTTCAGATTTTGTTTATTCCAGAGGCTCAGGTGCAGAGAAGGAAAGTGCAAGGTACATTCAGGATGAAGAGGATACCTGTTTGGCCACTGTGGGTGGTCTGTGTGGGGACCAAGGGAGAGGGGCCCAGATGATGGACCGAAGCCAGGTTGTAGGGTCCTCATGGTCCACCAGCCAAGCTTCCATAGTTATTACGATAAACAGTAGCACAGATTAGCAAGGTTGCCTTCTTTGTGGATCTGCCCTGAGTCAGGAGTGACCCTCCTTTCTCTGGAATAGGTTCACTTTGTCTTTTTTTTGTTTTTCTTTTCTTTTCTTTCTTTCTTTTTTTTTTGAATAGGTTCACTTTGATTCTTTTAACGAGACAAAACTGTCAGAACATTAAGAGTCAGAAAATTGTTCAAAGTCTTTCACCTGCTGCCTTCTTCCCTGTTACATGAAATGCATTTATTTTATTTTATTGCACCTGTGCTTAAAGGCAGCCATCTTCAGGGGACTGAGAACTCCTGGACCCAGAGCTGGCGTTCCTTACTCATATTGGGGGTGGACAGAGGGTATGGATAGCCCAGTGGTTTGCGACTGCGGGCCATATTACCCCCCAGGAGACATTTGGCAACATCTGGAGACATTTTTGGTTGTCACCAAGTGGGTAATGTCTAGTTGGGAGAGGCCAGGGATGCTGCTAAACATCCTGCAGTGCTCAACCCCTATAACAAAGAATTGCCTGGCCCTTAGCGTCGGTAGTGCTGAGGCTGAGGCAATCCTGTTAGAGCCTCCAGCTGGTCTTAGCAGTGACACCCTAGGCCACCGGTAGGAATTGGGCAGAGTGGAGCCCCAGGGGTCATGTTAGCAGTTGTTTGGCAGTGGCCATGTTGTTGTTGGGGGCGGCAGGTGCTGCAGAAAGTCCCAGGAAAATCCATAAACAAAGGAGCCACAAATAGATTTGGGAGAGTGAGGGATATCCAGCAGGTCCCCAAATGAAAGAAGTTCAGAAGAGGAAGTTATTAATTTATTCTATATTATTTTTATTTACATGTATTACATAATTACATATTAATATTCATGTGTTATATATCCCCCTACTCATCAGAAACATGCAGAGAGCTTACTTAAGGGAATTCCCTGGTGGTCCGGTGGTTAGCACGTAGGCTTTCAGTGCCGTGGGCCCAGGTTCAATCCCTGGTTGGGGAACTAAGATCCCGCAAGCCAAAAAAAAAAAAAAAAACAACCACAAAAGAAAAGAGAGCTTACTTAAGAACAATGGTCATGAAACTATTTGTATTTCCTATTCCAGCAAAAAAGACAAAAGCATTACATAAAGCAGATGCTAGAAGGTTTAGACCCCTATGGGGAATTTTCTTGAAAACTTTCCCTGACACAACTGGCTGCTTTTTATGAGGGAATTGCTGATAATATTATATCAAGGGTTAGCTTCAGACCTTCTGCAGATGTCACTGCCCTGGATCTCAGCCAAATCCAACAACATGATTCTGGTCCCAAATACGAGAATTTGAGAGTAAAAGTTCTTTACTGTTTCTGAACATTTCACTTACTTCCTATTGTTATTTCAAAAATGACTAAGTACTCCTCCCCAACCCCATCTCACTCATGTCTCCTATATTTTCATTTTTGGCTGTAGCTCCCTGTGCTTCTTCAAATTCCAAACACACTGTGCCTCTGGCTAATGTGAAGGAAACCATGAGCAAGCCTTATGCAATGTAAGTGTCTCCTCAATTGGGAACATGTTCTTTCCTTTGGTCAGGGGAGAGGGCCCAGCTGAGTGATATTTTCCATCTCTTTAGCTGCCCAAGGAGCACTGAGTTACTTTTCTGGATGTGATTTCAGTCCATCCCCTTACCGTTCGCAGACCACCACTCCCTCTTCTCTCTTCCTCAGTGATGGCAACGTGTGGGATATGAGCCTATTCATACTGACAGTGTCATTCCCCCCAGTCCCTGCTGTGCACACTGGGGAATGCACCTTCTCTAAACGCAGTGGGAGAGTGTGTACCCCTCCTCGTATCTGACTCTCTGTTGATGTCTCTGTTCAAAAGAGCTGGCAGGCATGCTACATTCTAGTCTTTGGTGGATCCTGCACAGTATAAGTGAAGAGACTCTACCAAAAACTTCCCTTAATCCAAATTATTTTCTATCAGCATAAAAAGAGGGCTAATATTCCTATGTTGTAGATTGTCCCCAGAAAATCTTTTTTCCTAATGCGCACCAACTGTCTGGGTTGCTGGGTTGTTTAACATGTACTCCATTATTGTCTTTGCAGTGACTGGGAGAGGGCCTGGGGAGCTGTTTCTTGTTTGTTTGTTTTGTTTGTTTGTTTTTTCCTCTCTGGGAACCGCAATACCCAGACTCCTTTGCTGACTGAATGCCAGTGGGGTTAGCCAGTGGAATGCAGCAGCAGGAGATCAGAGGGTGAATCAAGGGTATTTCTGCCCCCCAACCTCATCCCTTCCTGCCTTGGGGTAGCTCTGGCAGTGGCTGAGTTTTTCTATGGCCACAGTTGCAGAGAACAGGGCCTGAGGCACAACTAGAGAGAAGCCCACACACAGAAACGAAAGATCCCACATGCCTCAACAAAGATCCCGCGTGCTGCAACTAAGACCCGACGCAGCCAAATAAATAAATAAATATTAAACAAACAAACAAACAGGTGGGTGCTCATGTGACTCGACAGGTAGCCTTCCTAACTGTTGCCAACCTACAGCTAACGGTCCTGACCAATGTAGGCCTGCTTCTTATATAGCTTTTGACTATATTAGACTGTTGTTGATTTAATCAGTCAACCTTCACTGAGCACCTACTAAGTGCCAAGCACTCTTCTGGGTTCTGGGGATATCAAAGATGAATTCAACTTGATCCCAAACTTTCAAGAATTTACCCCAAAGTTGAACTTTAGACCAAAGACAAGAGTAAAACCAACTAATTTGCCAAACTGTGAGCCCCATATAAACCAAGTCTTAATGTTTTTACTGAACCATAAAATTGTTTTTAAAGGCACATGCATATATACATACACACTCACAAATTCAAAATGCCAGCCTCAAACCCAAATCAAGGCAGGTATCATCTTCAGTTATTTCACAGGATTATTGAAGTATTCTCTGAATGGAACAGACCTTGCTATTTAATTTGCTTCAAGCCTTAATTGGTTGGAAAAATTTCTAACTCTTTCTATGAGACATCCAGTCCTGGGTGGGAGTCCCTGGGTAGGCACAGGGATGTATCAGGTAGATGAGGGTCAGAGGCTCACCCTGGCAGCCATAGGCCCACTGCAAAATCTGGGCAAGTAGGTACTTGGTAGGTGGTAGGAAGCAGTATGGTGGGGAGGAAATTCAAAGCTTCTGCAGGAAGTAGGGCAGACCTACGTGCCACGTTCTGGATTAAAGAATGGGCAGCAAAGGTGTAGGACCCAGAGGGCAGTTGGTGGTTTCTGGGGTTTGTAGGATCACTGCTGCCTGGGATTAGTCCCACTCTGTTCCTTGGTCTCCATCCCCAAAACTTTCCTGAACTTTGAGTCTCTCTCTAGAAGCTCAGGGTCAGGTTTGGTCATGAGGATGTAGGCAGGTCTGCCATGGGTGTGGGGAAGCTTCCCTGCAGCTAGGAGTGCCCTCTGGAAGCCAGGTCCAGACTCGGGTCTTTGATTTCAGAGCCAGGCCTCTTCCCATACATCAGAGCACTGGGAACTGTGCAGTTCAGCCAGAGCTACCTTGGTTGATAAACTTCTAGGAATCAAGGTGCTTTATAAAGAAGCAGGCTGTGATAAAAAACAAACAAAACAACATTCATAAGCTGTGGAAAACACTGTTGTCAGTGGGTCACACATCCTGTGTGCAGTGCTCCTTTGTAGAACAGGTTATGAAACTGCTTGGGGGCAATTTACCAATTGATTTTAAGCAATTCCATGCTTTGAGTTCAAATACAAGGTTAGTGGGCAGGGAAAAAAGGCTTAAAAATATTAGGCATAGAGAGGTAAGAGTGGTCCAGGAAGAGGAAAGGTCTGTTCCAAAACTACAATCACAGAGACATTGTCACATCCACAGGCTAGTCCTGTGTAAATTCCTGGTCCCCAGCTGATATCTGTCCCAGCAGAGGAAAGAGTCTAGAATAAAAGCTCAGGGTAAATCTCCCATACATTAATATGCATGTGTGTGTGTGTGTGTGTGTGTGTGTGTGTATGTTTTAAATTAGAAGTTCAAATCCATACTCTGGTGTGGGTTGTATTAGTCAATTATTGCTGCTATGATAATGCTGTATAACAAATGACCCTCTTCTCCCAAGATCTCAGTGGATTACAAAACAAACATTTATTTATTTTTTTCTCTTTCATAGGGCTATGAGTTGGCTGGGATAGCTCTGCTTAGGCTACAGGTTGGGGTCAGGTCTGCTCCCTGTCCCTTTTATTTCCAGGACCAGCAGTAATGCCAGATATGCCCTTCTCCTGGAGCATGGCTAGATATATATATCAGCCTAGCTTTCCTCTGCTAGTCTTATCCTCTGCTGGTCATCGGACTCAGGTTGTGTAACTGACCTCAAAGTAGAGAGACAGATTGAGAAGTTGAGAGACTGCCTACAGGCTACAAATGGAAAAGGAGGAGGTCCATCTTGCTGATTGCTACCCACATCCTTCTAATTGCTGCCAAGTCTGTCAGACTCCCCAAATTTCCACCATTAAAGAGCCCCTCCTTTGAGTTACTATGGAATTAGTAACTTATTAAAAGTTACTAATTCAAAGGTGAATTTAATAATGGCTAAAACTTATAGAGTAGTTATGTTCCAAGCACTGTGGCACAGAGAGGTTAAGTAACATGCCCAAAGTCACACAGTTGGTAGATGGCAGAGCCAGGATCTGAATCCAGATCGTCTGTCACCAGAATCTTGATGTTGACCAAGTGGTACAGTCTCCTGGGGTAGAAGGAGCACTGGAGTGAGAATCAGAAGTCACAGAGTCTAGTCTAGTTCCTCCATTTGGGCAGGAGAGGCCTGGAGGTGCACTTGGAAACATGGCAGGGGGTAGGTCAGGCTGGCTTAAGTGCCATGCTAATGAGATTGAACTTCACCTTTGTTACTGGGGAGTCATCATAGGATTTAAACAACAGAATGACACAGTCAGATTTGAAAATTATCCAAGAATGTGCAAGTCCACATCCCAACATTTCTCCAAGATGAGCTCTCCAGGTGTCTTCCTGCAGTTTCCCAGAGGGTGCAAGTGACTTGCCCAGTGTCACACAGCAGGTGGAGGAGGGCTTGGAAATCAGGGCTTCCAATTGCTCCTTTTTGTCTCATTTCCCCTCACATGTGCTTAACCTCAACTTCTCACATCAAGGTCTGCTCCCTGCCCACTCGACTCCTCTCTGCTCTCCACTTCCAAGACAGTTTGGGTCACCTACAGACCTCATCCCAGCCGGATCAAGGAATACAGCTGCCCTGAGGTGTGGAACTCCCCAGTGTGTCCCTGGAGACCGGACACTGCCTGTTCTGTCCCAGGATACTGTGGTGACCTCTGAGCCCTGTTGCCCCAGCTTCCTTTCTGCCCTCACCTGCTTCTTCCTGGTCACAGTCAGGGCCAACACTAGCCCATATAATGCCTTGTACACTGAGAAAACAGCACCCCTTCCTTCAGAACTTGACTGCCAGCTGCTTGAATGTTGTCATAATACACTGATTTCGTTTGAACAATTGACTGCCAACTGCTAGAAAGCTGTATGAATGACATGTAAGTATGTCTGTGAAGTGCTTACCCTTTTGTATTGGCAGTGTACCCTTGGGCAGTGTGCAGTCTGAACAACTGTCCTCTGCACTCTGGAGGCCACTCCACTTCTTCCCTCTTCCTGCAAAACCAAATACCAACCAGACTTTGGCAAGTCGAATAATATTTCAAACACTCTTTTATCAACTCCTGCTCTGCAAATGGAATCCTCCTTTTGCAAAAGACCCTTGTATAATAAAGTGAACCCTCGAACTGGCTTTTTGTATAAATTGAGTTTTCCAATTTCCACATATTAGCCTGGCTACTTGCTCAGGATGCCCAAGGCATATAAATCTGTGAGGAGTGTTCTCAGTGGAAATAAGGGGAGGGAAGTCCTTGATTCAGGTCTTAGAAATGATGAATTTGTGTTCTTTTGCTAGGAAACTGTGAGCCGAGAGAGAAAACTTGAGCTGGAATGGGAGAGAACCCAACGGCCGCAAGGCCAAGGCTTCTCCCCGCTGCTCTCAGACGCCCTCCTCTCACCCCAGGCCTTTCGGGGACCTGCATGCCACCCACTACCAAGCCTGTTGGTGTAGAGGGTCCTGCTTCCCCCAGGCAAGAGCCTTCTTGTCTAAACAAACATCCTCCCAGCTTCCCTGCAGT